ATACAGATAATATCTCACAGCTGCTAGTGTCTCAGAAATCTAAAAATAGTCTCGCCATAGTTATTGCTCGATTTTATGAGAACGACTTTTACCACAGACTCCTAGTTCATATTTTCATCCCCATAAACATCCAGGATTGAACTCTTGTCTCAACAAGTCCTCCAGGGAAGGGGTATATGCACTTCAGTGCAGCTGCAGTGTTATGAACCCTCTTCATGTGACAGATATTTATATACACAGCTTTACACCCTGCATTTTCTGTTGACCCATATTGTGTCTGCATGTGTCTACTTTCATCATTATTGCCTCAGGAGCTCCTGTACACACTCCCAAGTCTCTCACACTTGCTGAATTTGGTCGTGGCAATTCTGCAATTCCCCTCTGACATGGAGGAATGAAATTAAAATATCTTACAGTATTGTCTCACCTTTAATGCTCAGACACAAAACAAAGGTTAGTCCATAATGTGCACACTTAGAGATACCTTTAAGGGCCCTATCTTGTCTCTCTGTCCTGTTGATACTTTCTCTAGCCAGGGCTGTCTCCCTGTGTCATTATCTCTCCAGACCTTTCTGACTGTTGCAAATTAGCAACTTTCTCTAATCTTCCTACAAGCCCAAACTCATCTTTTCTGTGGACATTCCCACAGGAAGAGTGACCTCTCCCTCAGAGGCACCATTGTTTAGTGTTGCTACATAATGTGATATTTCCCTGCAGTGATGAAGCTTTAACAGACTTTTAGCCACATACACTCCATGAACACTTCTGTTACATTCATGATACTTGGGAACAATCAGGCTATAGTTCACTCAGGTAAAGGTTACATGATACAAGATTCAGATCATGTGATACATCTAGCATAATAATAATTAAACATTATTACAAATACATGTGCAAAAAAGATATTCAAACATTATTATTTGTTCCCCTCAGGTTAGAGACACCTTTGGCACTCACTGGATAGACAAGCTTCCACCCAGAGACTGAATGTAGCTCAACAACATCATCTGAATTAGAGCACTTTAGTCTAGCACTGTCTGTTTGATGGAGCTATTCAAGATGTGCCAGACTTCTGGAAGCTCATAATCTACAATAATTCAATTCAATTCAATTCAATTTATAATACTATAATATAATAATTTGCTTTATTGGCATGAATGTACCAAAAACGATATTACTAAAGCATTAAGACAGTATAGAGTTACAAGGGGAAAAAACACATTAGAGTTCATAATAATAACAATACTAACTGTCCTCTAGTATGTAACATATACTTTAAGAAGGTTAAAGTAAAAGTAAATATATAACGTTACTCATGTATGTGTTTCTGCAACAATACTATGGATTCACTGGATATGATGAAAAGTAGAATTTGAGAGAGGTGTATTGGTGGGTAACTTTTAAGGCTTGTAGGTGACCACATTAGTGTCATGCTTTGTTTTCTTGTTTGTACAGGAGACTTTGAGTGAAGCTTTACACATCAGTTTCCAATGTTTTGCAACTGGTTCGTTTTAGCTTAACTAAGAGGCACTGTTCACAGAGATAGAGCCAATCGATTATCAAAATCAATCAACTTGTTTCTTCCTCATATGACATTACAATGACACATTTAAATAAATAAAAAAGCAACTTATGCATCATTAGACGCTTTGTTTACAAAATGACGCTGTAGGCGGGTCATGTTGTCTTTTCCAGTGTTCTCATTGGCTGCTGGCGTGATTGACGTGCGTTGTGCGCAGGCGCAGCACACTAGGAAGCGTCGAGGTTGTCAGTTATTTTCTGAAAGCCGTCCGAAAGGTAAGCTGCTGTGAACTCTCAGCATCAACGCAGACACTATAAACTGTCTGTAACATGGTCAGCGGCCGTGGAGGATGTTACTTAGTCAGAGCTGGTAGAGTTTTATCACTGTGTAAGATTATTGTTCACTTGCTGTAACTTCCACATCGTTGTTTTAAGGACAGGTCGGGAAATGTTTGAATTCGCTGTCAAACAAAGCAAAAATCTTAATGAAGTTCTGAGCGGTGGCTTTGTAGCTACAGCTTCCTCTTAAATAAGACGCGTGTCCGGCTTTAGAGTGTTTGAATTGGCAGTAACATTAGAGCAGACGTGTTTCTTTGGTGGTGCTTTCAGTGTGGACAGTTTCAGGGGCTAACACTGGAGCGCCACACTGTGACACTGTACGGACAACCGTTGCGGAAGTCGTCCGGATGCGTGGTGGTTTATTATTAGATATAGGAATTAGACATACGGCAACACACGAGTGACTTAACTGAACTAACTAAAACTGTCTTTAAATCTGTTTCTTAAAATAAAAACCCGGCAGGAAACTTGCTGCTCAATGAAAGTTAAGCTCTTCACAAGAACCAGACCTCCATCTACCCCTCCTGCACCCTGAGGGGCTGTCTGAGTCACTGAAGCCTTATGTAAGAGACATTTTCAGAGGTTTTTGTGCAACAGTGGTCAAGAGATGGTGACAGATTATGAATGTGATTGAATGAGAGTGAGGTAACCTGTGTGTGTGTGTGTGTGTGTGTCAGTACCACCCTCTCCACAGACTTGGCTGTCTCTACACATTGGGAAACTGGTGTACAACAGGCACATTGGGCTCAGTGTGTGAATGACTGACTGACTGAATCCAGTGTGTCAGGTAGTTCATCAGCAGCCATTTTTCTTAGACACAATAGTGGACTCAAGCAGTAAAAAAACAAATCTGCAGATTAACATATAATAAAACAGGGGTTAGTTTCAGTGCTAGTCAACGTCATCAGTGTGAGTTCCTTAATGAGGAGAAGTGAACTTGAAGGCAGTGTATGTTGGGATTATGCCAATTCATGAGGGTTACATCTAGGAATGCATTTAACAGATTAGAAACGGCGTCCTGTTACAGATGAAAACCTCTGATCCATGTACATCATTAACCCCCTCATGGGTCCATTCTGCTTTTAGTCGTCTCTCACTACCATTGTCTACTGTGGGCTTTTGTTCCTCCTGCTGTTTAAATACAGCTGACCTGGCAGCTTCAGTCAAGTATCACTCTAAATCAACATATGTTGAAGCCTGAATGGGCACAGAAAGGTCTCAGGAGGCCACGAGCTACACACTTTTTACATTTGCGGTGTTGGATCAGTCACATGATAGACCGAGGTTGGCTCTTTTTTTTTCTTTTTTATTTGATTGATTGGTCTTTGGCGATTGTCTACATACATTCTAATGACTTCTCTTTTATTAGACATCGTTTGCTCACTCAGGCCTACCTTTCTGTCGTGTCCTCTAGGCAGCACAGGCAGGGATATCCATCACAATTTGCAAGTTATTTGCTTGAGTTCCTCCAAGTCGGGTAGGCTTTCCCGGTGTGGCTCGAGCATGACTGCTGGAGCGTCCTCTCATCTTTGATGGCCCAGAGAGCTGTGGTCGAGCCCAGAAACTGTGTGGTCGCTCAGTTTGTGTGTGTGCGTTTTCATGCCAAGCGTGTTTGAATAGCCTGTCCTAGCCTTTCAGAAACTGCTGGTCTGGCTGTCATGTGCAGTGCAAGTCAGGAAGTATGAATTCGGTGTGACAGGAGGGTGTGTGTGTGTGTGTGTGCTTGTGAAATTGCGTGAGATAGAGGAAGCACCGGCGTGTGACTGAATATACTGGGACTCTCTCATAGATTGCTATATTTTGCGTCCTAGCTCAGACCAGAGAGGACTAGAGCGCTGTCATCTCCGATGATCTACTGGAAAGTCCTGATTTAGCCTAGCGGTTACAATCGACTGTTACGAACATTACTGGCTGCGTCTCAGAGCTGACAAAATGTAGCCTAATGTGTACAGACCGATATGGAGGGTGGGTTTAAGTGGCCCTAACCTTGAGAGGCAGTGAGCATCCTGGGGAATGAAGTTCCTCTGGTGGAAATGGAGGTAAAGTTTCTTGAGGCTGTTGCTGAGTTCCTGTGGTGGGAAAAGCCTTTGTAGTGTCGTATGGCAGAAGGGAGGTCAAGGGAACGCAGCCTGGCTGGGAGGGGACATCTGCATCCTTCGATGTGGGTAAGACCCGATACTGGTAATGCAGACTTTGGACAGGTGGTTCTATAGATACAGTAGGTCTGAATTATTGTGTAGGTGTGTGTTAAGTCACTCGTTATGTTTTCAGAAGCCAAGTTTATCCAGACAGTTTTTCTGGGGTCTTTCCTCAGGAGTATAAAAGTGGATTATGATAATCAAACTCATTATCTAAATTGGGTTGTTGAGGCCATGTTGGAAGTTCTGAAGCGCAGTTGAGTCTGACATCCTGACTCTCCTCGTCTCTTGAGATCAATTTGGTTACTTAGGCTCCTCAAAGACAGAATTTATTGTCGAACAGGTATTGATTCCTCTAGCATGATGTGTTTTTATTATCTTTTTTTAAGCCTAAACTTGGAAATTCTCAGAAGTACAGTGAAAGTAACCTTCTCTGGCCTCTAGTTTGTGTAGAATGAAAATATACACTTAAGCTTAATTTAAATAGAAATTTAAAATGGTATTACAAGGTAATGATAGGCAACAATAGTATTTCCTTTAAGAAGCACTGTCTAGATATGATGACAGGGGCTCGTAAGCCCAGTTGAGATAACGTTTGTCTCCCACACAGATGCTACTTTGACACTCCTGGAATGTTGATGCAGGTTCAAACTAGGCCAAGTGTGTTGTCAGTAGCCTTTGGTGAAGTTTCTTTTTGACTTACTAAAGCTACTTGTTGGACATATTCTGGTCCGCTGAGGAGAAAAGGATACATAATGGGAATGACGACATTTACCCTTTTATTATTATATTGAGCTAAATTTTGAACATTTGCTAGAATTTGTGTTCTCTTTCGTCTCGTCGTTGGCTTAAAGTGACATACCTCTAGATACATGTATTTAATAGATCACTTCTTCCCTCCCAACTGTTGACCTTTAGCCCATTAGTCATGACTCATGATCAAGGAGCACCCTTCTAATCTTAGTGGAAAAGTTTACGGTACTTCGCCTCTTGTGATATGTGATTCTTTTCTTTGGTAAGCATTACAGTGGGTTATATAAAGCAGGAGCTCTGTTTGCTGACGCACAACTGTGCTACGTTAAGCATTTTAACAGAAAAATATAGCACACGCTGAACACGCTTGAAAATCTTGAATGTTATGTGCTTTTTAGTTTGTTTCAGTGGATGACATTGATATGAGAAATTCTTATTATATAATTGCAGCTTTTATATTAACTCTAAAGCTGAAATTGCTATCGATTGCTGCTGACACTGTGGAAAAAAAAGGATAAAGGATCAAACCACAGACAACAGAAAACACTGAGTGCAGACACTTTTTGTCCCCGTGTCATTCCACTTGGCCTCACCGTTCTCACTTCTTGTTTTTGTTGTTTTTTTGTTTCCAGTCCCAGACAATGAATATTGTGGGCCAGTTGGCGGAGACGGTGTTCGTGACGGTGAAGGAGCTGTACCGTGGCCTTAACCCCGCCACCCTTACCGGAGGGATCGATGTCATTGTTGTGCGTCAGCCTGATGGATCGTTCCAATGTTCCCCCTTTCACGTCCGGTTCGGAAAGCTGGGTGTACTACGCTCCAAGGAGAAAATCGTCAGTGATTTTTTTTTTTTTTGTCTCATTTAATTATTTGAACTGCAATTCTAATTTCTCTCGCAGCTTTTGGTCATTCTTAGACACTTGCATGCCTCACTGTGATTTTAGGTGGACATTGAGATAAACGGAGAATCAGTTGACCTGCATATGAAGCTGGGTGACAATGGAGAAGCTTTTTTTGTGGAGGAAAATGAAAACACGGAGGTAAGATGACTAACATTTGATGACCATTGCTTTAAACATCCATTGTGTGGGATTTAGATGTTACACACTGGACCTTTTTAAGCTCATCATATTGTCCCTTTTCTCAATTCTTTGGTAACATTGCAACAGTTTGGTCTGCTATCGTACTCTTACTCTACTCTTTTAATCCCCTTTAGTCTCAGGTCCCAGCCCATCTGTGCACCTCCCCAATTCCTCTTGAGCTCCCCGAGGAGATCGAGGAGACCACTGAGGGATCCTTCACTTCTGGGTCAGGCATCCGCAGGAAGAAACGCCGTCGCAAACGGATCCGTTCTGATACTCACCTGAGAGAAGAGGCCAGCTCTTCATCGGATGAGAGAGAAAGAGAGAAGGAGTGGGAAAGAGAAATTGATCCGGTGGGGCAGGAGAGTCCTGATAAAGAGCAGCCTAGCACACCATTGCAAGTCAGGTCAGTGATTAAAACAGATAAAATAGTGTGTGTTGTGTTTTTTTAGGTGAAAGCTTTTTGGGACATAGCTTCATTCATTTATTCAAGAGCCACTCAAACTACACTTTGGAAGAAGATGGTTAGTGAGATATCTGATTAGCCTGCTTTTAGGGGCCTCCAGCTAGCTTCAGCTAAATGGTAAATCATATCTAATATGTTCCATGCCATTCCATGACATCTACTGTCACTATCAGCTACGACTGATGCATTCAGGCCAAAGTCACCTGTTAACACCAAAACATCATCCGTCCATTCTTTCTGCAGTGGTTGTCACATCTCGTTTGTTAAGGACTTATGCTTGTAATTCACAGCAGTAATTAGTGAACTTATTATTCTGCTACATTGTCGTTTTATCTATTGCCAACCTGGACTGATTTCACAAATGCCCATAGCATACATTTAAAGCAGCACACCTGAAATAGGTTTTATTATTGCTGATTTTGGTTCATTTTTGTAAATGTGGCATATTATTTTTCAGCGTTTTCATCACTATTAAATTCTGTGTGTAGCAAAGCTGCTGTTGGAATAAAACAGTGAGCAGAGAGCAGCAGAAACTGCATAGAGCTTCAAACTGTGATGTTGATTCTCAGTGGTGTCGTCAATACGAGCGACCTTTGTACAGGGAGTCTTGTGGTTTAATGTTTCTTCAACAAGTAGTTAAAACTATCTTCGTGTGTGTGTGTGTTAAAGTAAATCAGTGTACTACTCGATGTCTGAGGAGCCAAATGAGGAACTGGGGGCCACACAGACCAGAGACACTCATCCACACTCGGATGGAGAGCAGTCACCCTCAGAAAGGTGAAGAAGTTTAATCTTTAAGATAAATTAATTGATTTATTTATTTCTTTGTATTGAGCAGCCGCACTGAGTCAGTGTCACCTGACAAAGATAACGTCATACTGATTTATTCAGTGGCCCCTGTCCTTACAATATATCTCTGTATCTCTCTCTTTTATCTTTATTTGTTCAAGCAGTGTGTTCCTCAGCCGGTCGTCCTCTCCTAAGAGCGACTCTGAGCTTCTGGTTAAAACACAAGAGTCCTCTGGGCCTCAGATGCAGTGGAACTGGGGAGGTTTTCCCATGGTTCGTCAACACTCACACACAGACACACACAGATGTAAAGGCTTTTACTGCCTGCCCGTGCTGTTGTAATGCTGTAAATTTGAGACTGTCATGCTGACACACTGTCTCAAATTGCTCTCTCTGCCCTTCCCCTCCCAGCTGTGTCAATCGGAGAGGATGCCAGTGGACTTGCAGCGCATCTCCCCTTCCGGCAGTTCTCATTTCCGCACCATTGAGAGACAGGACTCCTTTGACATGGGCTACGAGCCTGTGATCAGCTGTGGCAGAGTGGGCAGTGTAACAGTGGTTAGGCCACAACCCAGGACTCGCTCCCTAGACCTAGGTAGCCACACTATGCAAACCACCCCTTTATCCAAGGAGCAAGACTCTCACATTGCCCATTCCACCCCCAATGACCTGTCCAAGAGTAACGTGGACTCGACACAGGCACTTGAATCCACATTAGGGGAAGAGGAGAACAGAGATTTGTCTTCTTCTTCAGCTAAACTAATTAATGGCACAGAATCTCTTGGTAGCAAAGAAAGCGCAACCAGTGTTAAAAATATTTGCACTGTGACTGACATAACTATCCCCGGGAGCCATAATAGCACAGTCAGTGTGACCGAACCGAACAACGCACAAAAACAACTCATCAAAGAGAGCGAAGACTGCTCAGTCACAGCAACAAGTCCAAGTAGTACGGAGTTATCAAGTCCACAACAGCCGGGTGCCTTATTGGAGCAAAGTGAACAGGGTTCCACCAGTAGTGCCCCTGTGAGCGAGGGGGACAGTGGGATAGATCCCTGTGCTGAGGGAGGGGAGCAGGAGGGAGGACCAGGAGGGGCTGAAGGGTCAGCAGGAGGCTCACTGAACAACAAAGCTGCACCCAAAGCTGAAGGGACAGATGCTGGGAGCAGCTGGACTGCTGCAGAGGGATTAGCAAACTCTTCCGAGGCATCCTCTAAAGTGGAGCAACAGGACAAGAAGAAAGGTGAAGTGTTTTTCTGAGCTCTCTCATTTATTCTATTTTTTTGTGTCTTTAGGTTTGTTTGAAGTCTCATTTCAAACTTAAACTAATTGTTCACCAGTTGAGTTCATGTCATTTTGTTGCAGGTAAACGTAATCAACATCTAGGACCAACAGGTATTTACTTGGATGATCTGACTACATTGGACCCTGAGGTGGCTGCACTGTACTTCCCCAAGAGGTAAAAAGACACATAACTGACATTCTTCACTAAATACAGTATGAGTGGTTCATTTTTAATTGTATATGAAATTTTCATCTTTCATCATCAAAATTACAAACAAAAATCTGTGTATATGTTTTAAACACAGACACAAATTTATTGAAATTTCCACTGTCAAAAAAAACTCCATAACCCAATAATAATAATGCTGTCTGCAAAGTGTCTCTATTGGGGAAGAATTAAGTGTCTGTTGTCCCTGCAGTGAGACAGAGGGAGCGTCTCAGCAAGGGGCGGAGCAGGGCTCCTGCTCAGGGAGCCAGTCTCCTCAGTCAGTGGGCAGCGGGGCCATGGACAGCGGTACGGAGTACCTGTCAGATTCCACCTCCTACAACATGGATGTCAGCATGTCCCTCTGCGGACAAGAGGGCGACACCAGCCAAATTACTAAAGGTACGTGAGAATGAATCTGTGCCGCTGTTCTGTATGCAGGATGTGCGAGTACATGAAGGAATGGGCAGGTTCTCAGGTGTCATGTTGTTTTTGCTGTTAATCCAGAAAAGTTTATGGAGCACATTGTGACGTACCAGGATTTTGCCAACAATCCAGGAATAATTGAGGATCCAAGCCTTGTGATCTGCATCAACTCCAAGTAAGTCCAGGAATTAGATATTCATTGATTTACCTATACAGTTCCTATCACAAAACTTTTGTTATTTGACTGTTTATATATTTATTTAAGAGGATGCTCTTAAACAAGTTTATGACTGGTAATCATCTGGCTTTCATCTTTCACAGCTATTATAACTGGGCAGTGGCTGCTCCAATGGTCTTGTCAATGACAACTTTCCAAAAAAATCTGCCCAAGGTATTTTATTGTTTCTCTACTAGACCTCAGTAATGTTAATTAATTAGGCTTTCTTAGTGTCCAGTCCAAACATTCATCAAGCTGATCAGAGTTTGGCATTAGACAGATAAGATCTTAGTTCGCTAGTGAGTATGATGACAGGATTAATATAACTGTCTTCTTTTTGTGTGTGTGTGTGTGTATTTGTGTTTGTCATATAGAGTACAGTAGAGCGACTGGTCAAAGACAAGATGCCCAAAAAGTCTGGACGCTGGTGGTTCTCCTGGAGGAGAAGAGACATGGACAGTAACCAGGTACATTTTTAGGAATTCCTTTTAGTGGTTATTCTGAGTTGTGATGGTGTGCCAGCAAGAAAATAAATAGTAATAATAATATGTCTGGAATTGCAATCATTACATGCAATAATCAATGCATTGTTTTTAACAGGGTTTTATGGCTGTGGCCTTATTTGTCGCTGTCTGTTAGTAAAAGCACTATTGCCACTTGACATTGTTGTAGATTGGACTGTAATCCAATCTGATCACATAATTCTTGTATTTCAGCAAAAGAACTCAAAAGATGAGCAAGAGGAGCCACTGGCTGGTGTTTCTTCCACAGTACAGTAAGTCACCTCAAAAAGAAATGATCTAAAAACTTTTGCTGTTTCCTTTTGAATGTAGTCTTGCTGATCCACAGCTGTTAGACTTGTATTTTTGAGGAGGTACATGTCATCTTTAGATTACCATAACACAAGACCTGATAAATTGGCTGGGAATTATTATTATGTTTTTTAGTTTTTTATTTAAAGACATATTTTTGTGTATCAATTCAAATGTCATTGTGTAGTTTACCTTTGTGCCACCAGAGTGTGCCAAACCGTTGTCCATACAGTACATTTACTCAATAAATATTCTTTTTTTTTGGCTTTATTGATAGAGACAGTTGTAGAGAGGCAGGAAAGGTGGCTCTACCGACTGAGCTAACCGGGCGCCCACTCAAAAAATATTCTTAAAAGACACTTGACAATGTCAGCATTTGCTAAAATTAAAGCTTAACATATGTTGGGTATGAATGTTACGGATCACCAAGTGGAAGGTTTTCTTATTTTCATGCATAAATCACTAAATCATTTTATTTGCTCATCAGCAATAAATACATACAGTGTGACAAAGGAGCATAATTCAAACAATAAGTGGTAATTGGCGGTGCGTTGTTTCTCCAGAGCCACATTGGATGACATCGACAGCGATGAGGCAGCGGGCCTCGGCCGAAAAGCCACCATTGCTCCCAGCCTATCAACAGAAACCCTTAACACCACGCAGTGCATCAACCAGATCTACCGCAAATCACTACGCCTGACCTCTGAACAGATTGTAAGAGCCACACACACATACACATTCAACACCCACATGAAAGATTTTACTCTGCTCTCTAACTAAGTATTTAAGTATCTGAGTATTTAGCGGATGTTTCCTTGTGGTTTTAGTGACTTCAGCTAACTCTCACCTTCCTCATAACCAGGAGTGCTTAAACCTGCGTGAAGGAGCCAACAAGGTGGTGTTCAGTGTGACCACACAATACCAAGGCACCTGTCGCTGTGAGGCCGCTATCTACCTGTGGAACTGGAACGACCGCGTCATCATTTCAGACATAGACGGCACCATCACTAAGTAAAAACAACTGCGTTTCCTTGCACACTGTGGTGTATAGAGAAACAGTTCATACAGAGTTCCTGATTACTGTGAAAGATACACCGTAGAACATTGTGTGAACTCACCGTCTCACAGTATTATAAGTAGTCTTTACTGTCTGTCTCCTGCAGGTCTGATGCTCTGGGTCATATTCTACCTCAGTTTGGAAAAGACTGGACACACAAAGGCATTGCCAAACTCTACCACAAAATACACCAGTATGTGAAATTACTTTTTAGAAAAATATTATCAGCTATCAAAGAGCAAAAAAAGTGTTTTTCCTTTTTTTAGTTTCTTTCACTGAACTTTCAGATCCACTTTTCACACCATAACAAGCAAACAGAAAAAAAAAAAGTCATTCAAGTTTCCGTTGACTATTTAATCTGCTTTGCCAGATGTTCGTCCCTATTTTCACGTCTCATGTTGTGCTTTTAAAACAGAATTCAGCTGTTAAGGAAATTGAAAAAAGATTGAATTCTGTTGAAAGTGCTAATCTTTTAAGACACACATCTGGAGTAACAGGATGTGTTGTTGAAAGTACTGATGACAGTATTCAGGATCCTTAATGCTTTTCAGAAGTGGAAAACTCCACATTTTTCTTTTCTTTTTTTATATTAACTAAAATGTTAATATGGTTGCTCCTTTCCTTACAGAAATGGTTACAAGTTCCTGTATTGTTCAGCGCGGGCCATAGGTATGGCTGCCATCACTAAGGACTACCTTCAGTGGGTCAATGACAAAGGCACTGTCCTACCTAAAGGCCCTGTACTGCTGGCTCCCAGCAGCCTCTTTTCAGCACTACACAGGTAACAAATACTACCACTCAACTACAGACAGTGTCCTACTATAACACTGCGTTGATTAATCGAATTAACAGAATGTAGGATATATCTGTGAGCAATTGTTCAAGTTTGAAAATCAATGTAATGTAGAGAAAGCGGTATCCAATAAACAGTAATACTAGTAGCTACTGCACTGTGTGAAATATAGGAATGTAAGCAAGGAGACAAACACCACAGATACCCATTTTGACTATGAACTCTGTGTCCTGACCTGTGCAGAGAAGTTATTGAGAAGAAGCCGGAGGTCTTTAAAATCGCCTGTCTCAGTGACATCAGGGACTTGTTCAACCCACAGAGAAGGCCCTTCTACGCTGCCTTCGGCAACAGGACTAACGTAAGCAATGCTGCAGACTGGGTCTTTCTATGCTGCTGCAGTCTATTTTAAAGGTTGTGTGATGTGACTTTAGCCACTGGGGATGTACATAACCACTAGAGATTGTGGTCTGTATTAAAGCGAAGAACACACCCATGTGTTTTTAAATGTTTCTACCTACCAATATTTTAATGTAATATACTCCAGCAGGTAGACATGAAGTGTGAGTGATGTGGTTTGTCTGTGGATAAAGTAAACACTGGCTTAATGATTGATCGATGGACTAGTGCTGTAACAGCCAAACAATCTTTTTAGTGTACATAGATACTGCAAAGTTGGCATGGAAACTAGTCTGTGTAACCTTAATGGTTTGATGCCATTGGCTCTGCAGGATGCGTATGCCTACAAGCAGGTTGGTGTTCCTGATACCAGGTTATTTACTGTCAACCCTAAAGGAGAGCTCATCCAAGAGAAGACTAAAGGCAACAAGTCCTCGTAAGTGTGCAACAGAACACAGATATAAATACATTTTCGACCTTTTTAATGCTTTGAAAAATTCTGACTGGTGATTCTTAGTGGAATCAAAAAGTGGCAGACATCAGGGCCTTTTACTGGGACTGCTGATTTTGCTCCAAACATAAACCTGTGCCATCAAAATAATTACAGATAATCCAGTTGCATAAAGATGATACACATCATCAGATGTGACAGACATCATCAGACATATGTTCCTGTGTTTATTAACAGAATTGTGAGTCAGTCGTGTGTGTGTGTGTGTGTTTGCAGGTACAGCCACCTCAGTGGGTTGGTGGAACATTTCTTCCCTGTGCTCTCTGTCGAGGGAAGCACCTCCTCTGCTTTGGACTGCCCTGAGTACAGCAGTTTTTCTTACTGGAAGGAACCTCTGCCAGAACTGGACCTGGATGAACTATTGTAGACACACATACCCACATTTACCAAAAGACACACACACTTTAAGGCAAAAACATACATAAGAACATATACTGTGGTTTCTTTTCTCCCTTTTCAATGGATTTATCCCAGCATGCCTCAATATTGCCTTTGATAGACCTGCCAACTGTAGTGCCTATTTATAAGACATTGAACAAGCTGGAAAAGAAAAAGGCAACTGTCCCGTCTTACAAAGACGGAGACAAATGAATGCATGGACTCTACATTTAAAAAATAAGCTTATAAAACGTTATGCAGAACACAGTATCAGTGCTTTTACACTGACTGTGGCTGTTTGCACATGTTGAAATCCCGACACAACTGAGCAGATATGCCTTTGGACTGTTTCAGTTTTTTGTTAGTGTGTACCAGTATCATAGTCATTCCAAAATATGAATTTAAACAGTGTATCAGTATGATAACTCTTAACACTGTCACACATGTCAGCTCTAAACACTTACCAAAAACACATTTGGATAGAAATTGAGCTGTATTAGCTTAAACCCTGCACATGCCAAAACTGTAACTACAATGACCTGTTTTCTGAGTGATCTGGAAATGTCCCCCCCCCAACCTTGAACAGACCTAGACACAAAGCTACAAAACAAGCCTTTTCTCCTCCATTCAGTTAAGAGTGTGCCTGTGTGTTGTTTGCAACAGGGAATGTCATTGGACCCGAGCATTGTGGGGAGGGTTTTTATAGCTACATGTACCAAGCGACCAAATATGGTGTGAGAATGTATTTAAAATGCTTTGGATTACTCTAGAGTCTGTTTGACCCTAATAAGTATGAGGGGGTCGCTCTGAGCGTTATTCTGTTAGACAAGCACAAAGGTGTTTATTAATTACGTTTGACTCACCTGAGTCATAACTATTTGTAGCTCTGTGTGGGAAGCAAAAGGTGTGGTAACTGTCAAGCCTGCAGATGAATACGGTGGAGGAGGAGTTGTTGTAAGGGACAGTAGCATTATTTTTTGTAATTCCAAGTTGATCTGTGCATATGATCATTGTAGAACTACAACATGCACATTTCACTTCCTTTCAGGTACGACACTACCAAGTTTAGAAATATTTGTACACTACATGAATGCAGAGATGGCTCAGACTGACAATGACTTTTATTGCGGAGACTTGTAAACAGACCTTGGAAGGGAAGTTCCAGTAGCCTGGCACTGTGCCTTTGTACTATAAAGACACTTATATTTATTATTTTTGCATATCTGTCATCCTCTAACTGTGTGGAGAAGCACTGGAGCTGAGGATTTTGCCTTACCTTTTAAACTAAATGTATAGAAATATTAAATATTAAATATTAAATAAGTATAAAATACAACTTTGTCTGTTTTCTTTTTCCTCCAGTTTGAATGTGAAGTTATTCATTGTTCCATCTATATTTACATGTAATATACTTTTTTTTTTTCTTTTTTTTTTTTTACAAATTACATATGTGTGCAATAAAAGATTACATATTTAGATAAATTCTTTTTATATGCTAATATACCAATTCTGAGGGCCTGATGACATTTACCATATTAGATGGTGGGGGCAGAGTGGGTAAGGGTTTGGCAAACAGAAACATGGAGTCAGGCTGATGTTGTTGCTCTGTCAATGGCTGGGACACATGGAGGTGTTGGTGTTTGTGAAACGCGTCTACAGCGCTGATCTGTGCGTCAGTGCGTTTTATTGACTCTACCTGGAACAGGAAGACTCAACGCGAGACAGCACTCCTGTAATAGGTGAGTCTTTGTTTTTGGTTTTTGTCTTTAAAGGATAGACTGATACTCTGTATTTAGCTGTTTGTACAGAATGAGGCGTCTTCTGCTGCTGCGCATTAACTGATGCGCGAACGAATAGTAACGTAGGCCTAATTATTTTTTAAGGAAGTAAAGTCAAATTAATTAATATCAAACGTATTCTGTGCAGTAGAATCACACTAACAGTGTGAATGAGATTGATTAAACGGAAGAAAGCGAAACTTTAGTGAATTTGGCCACATGGAGATTCTGCTGCTCGCAGGAAATCGAAACTTAAGAGACTGACAACGCAGAAACAATATGACCTACATTGTTGACTGTTGGACCTTGTTTGTCACTTTTCATGTTTATTAGACACTTCTTCCTGTAGCTCTTCGTACTTATAATAGATTACATTTGATGAAACCTAGCTTTTGCACATTGTGGCCAGTGATTTGGAATCTAGTTGCACGCATACAGTGTTTGGTTTGCTTGTGCCGCACTGAGTCGCTCCTGTTGGTGTAGGTAACTTTCTCCTACACCTGCAGGAAAGATGCGCAACGTGCCTGCATTCAGGTTAATGTAGGCAATATTTCCTGTGGGAATGTGGACATGCTGCCATCTGGATTAGTTAACATTCACGTTCAGAAGTTAGAGAATATAAAGAATAAAGAATATTTTTTTATACACTTATTGGATAATTTACACAGTCAAATATGTCAGCCAAGTTTAAATCAGAATCAGGTTTTTTGCTGAGTAAGTTTTTGTCCCGGTGTGTTGGTGCATAACAATTAACACAGTAAGAAGAATATAAAGAAATATAACTGAAAGTTAAGAAACATAAATAAAGAACTGACAATAAAGTACGAAAATATGTAACAAAATACGTACATTTACATGATACATGTGCAAAAGGTCACAGTATGATCATATAGAAGTAGATAGTAATCCAAATGGTGTGCGTTAATGTAGTGTAGACTTTGCCCTGCTAACTAACATGTAGTGACTGAGCAGTCAGTGGGGATTCAGGCCTTGTTGATGAGGCCAGCTGAAGTCTGGATGTAATGCAGTGCACGTATTATAAACCATAGATATATCTGAAGTCATACCCTGAGTTGTCTGTTTTTCCAGCATCTGCCACCATGAGTGCGACTGAAGCAAACCTTTCTGAAAAGCCTCATCCAGGAGCTCTGGCTTTGGAGCTGACTTGCCCCATCTGCTTGGAGCTCTTCTCTGATCCCGTTTCTCTCCCCTGTGGTCACATCTACTGCTTAACCTGCCTGCAAACCATGGGAGAAGGCCTTGACCAACACAGCTGCCCAGAGTGCCAGGCAGACTACCAGGGAACCAAAGCCCTTGTGAGAAGCTTTAAAATGTGCAGCATCATAGAGAGCTACAAAGCCACTGCTGGGGAAATCAACTCAACTACAAACCCTTCTGATATCAGCCATGTAACAATCAAGAGTGATGATAGGCCTGTTACAGAAGAATCAAATACAAAGTATCACCAGGACACAGCAACAGCAGGAGGGGGCCGGGAAGAAAGCTTAGACTGTAAGGGTAAGGATGGCTTTCAGGTTGGTTCTGGATCCACAGGCAGTGGCAAAGCCAAGACAGAAATGGATGAACCCAAATTCAGGCTGGCATCTCAAGTCACAGAGTTGAGCCTCAAGCTGGAGATGGCAGAGAGTGTGCTGAGGAAAGAGAAGGAACGCGAGTTAGAGGTGACCACCGCAAATGGTCAGCTGAGAGAGAAAGCATCCAAACTTTTAGGGCAGATAAAAGATTTGTCGCAGAGCTACAGCGTACAGGTGATGCAGATTATTGAAGAACAGCTAGGCCCAGGTGAGGCCGCTGTGGGCAGCCGAGTCGGTCAAGCTTCTGAGCTGACCAAGCAGCTGAGACACGCTATGCTCACAGCGGAGTCCCTCCTGACCGAAGAGGATGCGACTGAATTTAGTGACGAGCTTCAGACTCTACAGCCACGCATCGTGGAGTTAATGGCCACGCCTGTGGGAGAAGAGGAAGACCGCATTGAATCAAAAGTCAATGCTGCAGAAGCCTGTCCCGAGCTGGAAAAAATGAATTCCGAGCTGAGGGAAAGATTTGGAGAGATTCAGCGCTCCCTTCGAAACATCCTCAACCCTTCAGAGGTGACCTTTGACCCAGAAACTGCCCACCCAAACCTCGTCCTCTCAGAAGACTTGAAGACAGTGACTTTCAGCGCTGCCAAACAGCCCTACCCATCCTGTCCTCAGAGGTTCACCAACTTCTTCCAGGTCCTCAGCACCCAGAGCTTCTACGAAGGTGATCACTGCTGGGAGGTGGAGCTGGAAGGTTCTCCCTGGATCATTGGTGTGTGCTACAGTGGGAAGCTAGCACGTAGCGGGTTGCCCTCTGCTCTGGAAAGCAGCCGGAGCTCCTGGTGTCTGATGTGGTTCAACAACCTGCTGACGGCCTTTGAGCAGAGCCACAGTGTGCCGCTGAAGAAGACCACCGTGTCACGCAGGCTGGAGATCACACTGAGTTTCAAGACCCACAGGCTGAGCTTCTACAACATCAGCCCCGTCAGCGGGAAGACTCATGTGTACACATTTAAGGCTAACCTGACTGAACCAGTGCACCTGGCCTACAGGATGATGTCAGGGCACCCCAAAGGACGTGTCACTATTTATTCATAAACATAACTACAATTTCTGTTAACTATATACTCTTGGCAAATGTGCTGCTGCATAGTAGAAGGTACAAAGTGATAATATTTTTAAGCTGATTTGAGACTTGAAATTTCGACGATTTAAAGAATGTAAAGTCTTGAGCTGTATGTTGGTAGACATACAGACTCTGACTTCCTCATTCCTCAACCAAGAGTTCAGGAATTCTGACTGCACTTCCTTTATGTTTTGTGTTATAATATATGACTGCTTCTACATAGGCTTAAAAACATACATGGGACTGAATTACTAATTTCAGTGTTCATGAAACATAGTGCTCACATGCCATGCTCAAAAATGATGCCTCAATAAATGTTGTCATTATTATTATTATTATTATTAACTTTATGGTAATGTACAGTGTGATTCATAGTGCATAGTGTAAAGGTTAAAACAAAGCAAAGATTACACATTGAAAAACATTGTGTTTTATGATTTTTTTGTATTTCCATCTGACAAATAAACTCCTGACAGAATTACTCTACCCTAAGCCTCATAATATAGTATCATCACATTCATATTATTACACTTTGGGAGATGTCACTAAGTCCTACTGTGTATTTTACTTGACTTAACTTAAAGGTCCAGTGTGTAGGACACACGGTGAAGTTGCAGTAGCAACCAACTGAATACCCCTTGCCTCACCCATATCTTCCAAAAGTGTAGGTGAAACTAGTGGACCACTGTTTGGTTTGTCCCTTCTGGGCTACTGTAGAAACATGGCGGTTTAACATGCCCTCTGTAGAAGAGGACCCGCTCCCTCTGTAAGAGAAAGACGGCTCATTCAAGGTAACAAAAATACAATATTTATTTTCAGTTGATTGTACACTGCTGACAACCTAACCATTGATATTATAATCCATTTCTGCCAATAGATCTTCCTAAAAGTTACAAACTGGACCTTTAAATAAATCCTAAGTAACGCCAAGGTCATCTCGCGAGACTTGCTCACTTGTTTGGTGAGAGTCAGCTGACCACACTGGGGAAATTTGTTGACGAAAGTATCGTTAGTACAGCCATGTCCCGTATCGGTGATCAATGTATTGATCGATCACAGCGTGTAGTGCATGTGCTGAAGTACTTCTGAAGCGTTTTCCAGCAGTTGAATCTGAATCTACTGAACAGGTAAGATGTTTTTTACCAGTGGAAGCTCTCGTTACGTTGGGTCGGCGTCATTGCACTTGCACTAGTATCACGTTTGTTTTGATGCTACGTGAGCCAGTCGGCTTATCAACTGTGGCATTTAATGGTACATAGCAAGCCTTAGATACGTTTGGTATATTAACATTACTGTATTTGTCTCACAGAAGCTCTGAGAATATAGTTTTAATTTACAAACAACCCTTCTTCCGACCCTAGGCAGCTAGCTGGAAGTAGCGGCGTTAGCTAGCGTTAGAAATCCCCCTTCACGCTATCTTTAAGTATTAAGATAGCTAGTTAAACTATAACGCCATTAAATAGTGTTATGATAGGCCACACGAATGAGTCCGTTCGACTATGTTATTAATAGCCGCACTTTATCACCGATAACAACTCCACCAAGAGCGGGTCTGAGTTGAGACATGTCCTTTTATTTAGTTTACTCCAGCCAGGTTAGCCTCTATATCCTGACAGCGCTCCTGTTGACGAGGCGTACATTAATGCTAACGGGATTAAGATTGGTTTGGCCATTTGAAACTGTTCATTTAGCGCCACACATGACTGCCAATCTCGTTACATAATGTTTATCTAAAAGTGGATAAAGCTGTGTCGGGTTCCTACCTGGTACAACAACCCAGCGGCTGTAATTAAAGCTAGCTGAAGCAGCGTAAGTTAAATCTGTGTTTTGTTATGTTTTACATGTGAATTGGACCTGAATCTCCCTCGAAAAGAGGAAACAAGAAGTGAAATGTCTGCCAGTTTCTATTAATATCAGACATAATTTCCCTGTCAGGGTCCGACACCATGCTAGCCACAGTGACTGCTGTGGTTAGGTTTGCTCAGTACAATGGCAGTGTTTCACCTACACCCCTGGAGAACACATCAGCATACCCAACGTGGCAATCGGACACTGAAGCCAACATCTCCAAGCCTCACAAATGTCTACAAGTACTGTATGAGGACATTGGAGACTCCAGGTATTTGGTAGAATATTGTAGATTAAATAGTTGAAAACCATTAGTTCTGCATTATCCCCTTCACATTCATGTCTCTTTCTTAGGGTGCGCTTCTGGGACATTTTACTGCTGGTGCCTAATGTGGCCTTCTTTGTGTTCCTGATGTGGAAGCTGCCCTCAGCCAGGGCGAAGATTCGACTCACCTCTAGCCCCATCTTCGTCACCTTTTACTTGCTGGTAGGACAAAAACTGCAGAAAACGCCATTATACAGTATCCAAAGTAATTATCTTGAGCCTGACATTGTGGCCCCACAGTGAATTCTATTAATAAAAGTATTTCAGCCCATAATTTAAGGTTAATCTTGTAAGCATTTTAATCAATTTCTGAATTGGCGGGTCTCCAAAAAGTCTAAGAAGACAATGCGCCTGTTAATACCTTTCACTTTCTCTTTTGTTTAACAAGAAAGACAAATGACCTTGTCGCAAGACCCGCTGAAAAATGTCTTCCTTGTTTACTGTTTTGTAATCTGTTCTTTTTCTGTGTTTAGTCTTTGATTCCTAAACATACTGCATCATTCCAGTGATGGTAATCTAACAACAAAGACTCTAAAGAAGAGGATATTTTAGCTCTGCAATGCCTGGCAAGGCTATAAAGGAGCTCTGCATATTGTTTGTGTTAGTGTTAACCAGTGCATTGTGGCTATCAGCGATACTTTCCCCCTGAATTCTACTCCAGGACATGTTTTATTGTGTTCAGAAGACAGTCTGTGGAATATGGTCTGACAGATTTTGTACTGTATCTTTTAGGTGTTTGTTGTAGCAGCGGTTGGAATCACCAGGGCCGTAGTGTCCATGACTGTCAGTGCGTCCAGTGCTGCCACCATCATAGACAAAGTAAGGAAGCACATGAAGCATAAATAACATATTTGGGTTGTAGTTGTTGAAATTAAGAGCTCGTTCTGTAATTCAAATGTAGTGAACAGATAGGACTACCACTACCAAAATTACCAAAAAGTATTGGAACCTGCACAACAAGAATTTAATAATGTTGTCTGCCATAATTAACTAAACATAACAAACTAACTTTAGTATAAATGCAACTATACCAAACATTTATATGATCAAAAAACATTACTGATTAGACCGCCAGTCAACTCCAACACAGTGCGTAATTATTTAGAGATAAAAAATAAACAAATAGTAAAGGGTACATGTTTAGGAATTATAGTTTTTACCTTCAAACAACTTTTTTTTTTTTTTACCTAAATAAGATTTTTACCTAGATATAGTGATGCAAAAATCTGAAAACTAAAATGCCATGTGTAGCATGCATTTAGTATATTAATAGGTTTTTTTTAATGCTTGAAGGGAAGTATTTAAAACTTTTCACAACTATTTCCAAACTATACTTTTCCCAAGATCATGTCATCAAGTTCATGTTTACTTTACAGTGAATATTGTCCTTTTTGGAAGAGAAAAGGCCCCTTTGTTTGTGCGGTAGAACTAACAGTCTGGGTGAAATTGAACTTTCTAAGCGGTCGGGATCTTTTTAGTTCGATGTAAAACAGTTTGGGTTTCATGGAGTTCAACAGTGTAAAATAGTCACGGATTTGTATTTACAGGTAGCACATGACAGACTGCAGCTTTGCATCATAAATACTTAACTGAAGCAGCAGTCACCATATCCTTCTTTATTAACTATCCAGTGGACCTGATATGAGCTTCAGCACGACTTTGTTGGGCTTTCATGTCTGAGAGGAAAGGCATGGTTGACATTCCTCACATACCAGACAGATCCCTATGTAGTTCACAGTAATGGATCTCACTTCTCCCATACCACACTGTCATGGTTGCACTGTTAAAGAAAGAAAAACAAATGCTTATATAATGTGGGATATAATGTGGGATATAGTTTGGGAATGTGACCAGACCTGTAAGGTTTTTGCATATGTTCTGAGTCCGTATGTGTTACAGCTGGTCAACTCTGCCCCACTGGCTACTCATGATGTTTGTTGTTTCTGCAGGTGCTGTGGGAAATCACCCGCTTCTTCTTGCTGGCTATTGAGCTCAGCGTTATAATCTTGGGACTGGCTTTCGGTTAGTTTGCTCCACTGGTTTCATTTCTCATTTACTGTATATGCGTTTCTCTCTCTTCTCACATGACACGTATAAATATAGTTATTTTTTTCAGCCCTGACTATAATCATGAATGTAACCCAATGCCTGTTCAGCTTTTGTTTCTGTTAAGCCTCTTTATGTATGTATGTATGTATGTATGTATGTATTTATTTATTTATTTATCAGGTCACCTGGAGAGCAATTCCAGTATAAAGCGTGTGCTGGCTATCACTGCTGTGCTGGCTCTGGGCTACTCCATCACACAGGTAATGACAGATGATAAGAGGTTAAATCGTGTTTAAAAACCTCACTTAAAATCACACAGCAGGGAATCTTGGTAAATTGTCATTCTGCATGCAATTAAAATAAATGAGCCATTGTTTCAGGGCACACTAGAGATCCTGTATCCAGACAGTCACCTGTCTGCTGAGGACTTCAACATCTATGGTCACGGAGGGCGGCACTTCTGGTTGGCCAGCTCATGCTTCTTCTTCTTGGTCAGTAATCTGTAACCACGCAGCAGTAGCAGCATGAGGAATAAAATACAACTTGTGATACATATCTTGATAACTGATGCCTAATGTTTTTATTTTGTTTTTATAGGTGTACTCTTTGATTGTGATCTTGCCTAAAACTCCAGTGAGGGACAGGATATCTCTTCCATGTACGTTATGGATTTAATTGCATCAAGTAACAGGAATTGGGTTGAAGTGGTTGAGAGAATTGCTTTGGATATAAAGTAATTTTAATGAATGGAGTATTGGTATCCACGAGAATGTGCCTGCACTTTCAGTAATGTGTTTTTACCACTGCATGATGCCATATTATTGACGGATGTCCATTAATCTTTGCTTTGCTTCCTTTGTCCAGCTAAGAGGAGTTTCTATGTGTATGCTGCCATCCTGTCTTTACTGAACCTGGTCCAAGGCCTGGGCAGTGCTCTGCTATGTGCTGGAATTATAGAAGGACTTTGGTCAGTATAATCCTTTTGAGTGTTATACTAAATAAATGGACCTGTGTGAGCATGTTGGGAAGAAAGATACGTTGTGTAGAGTTTTGGCCTCAGAGCAAGTACAGCCATAAAGCACTGGGTTTATGCTGCACAAGCCTTTCAGAACAGTGGCCTGGATATAGGGTGGCTGTTTTTTAAAACTTGTCGTAATTGAATTTGTTGGCTGAGTTGCAACAAGGGGGATGACTCACTGTTTTGGCGGGTCCTATAAAGTTAAGGCAAGAGGATGAGAACATAACAGATGTTTTTCTTTTTGACAAAAGAAACATGTTGATTGTGCTTTCTCAATCTATTGAAGCTGATAATATCCGTATGTCCTGTAACTTCTACTGGGACTATGTGAGTGGTGTGAAACCTGTCTTTTATTTTGTCTTTTCTGAACCAGCTGTGTGGACGTCACCACCTTCCTGTACTTCTCCACCTTTGCTCCACTGATTTATGTCACATTCCTCAAGGGCTTCTTTGGGTTTGTAAAAAGAATCAGATATATTCTATATATCAAATATACAGAACACTTTTATAGTTGCATGTATATTTGTCCCTGTTTCTTCCTTTATTTATTTCACAACTTTCTTCTTTTCCACAGCTCAGAGCCCAAGATCCTGTTCTCCTACAAGTCACAGGTGGACGAGCCGGATGAAAGTGACGTCCACCTTCCCCCAACCGTCGCTACGACCATTGGCCGTAAGGAGCTGACCGACCAGGGCCTGTACTACTCCTCCACCCAGATTGATGGCTCTGGACCTGGCAGCTCTCGTATGGTTGGAGCATACCTGGATGATGTTGCCTCCGGACCCTATGGGTCCAGCAGCATTAACAGCATTGAAGCGGACCGCTGGAGACCTATCAATGCGTGAATCCATAAAGAAGAGAGATGGTTATACAGCTGGACTTATATGTTGTGAGTGTGTGATGTGTTATGCGGGGTGGTGATCAGAGGAGTTGGCCCAAAAAAATGCAGAACAAAGTTGTCGGACACCAAGAAAATGTAATCTTGGGCTTGCTTTGACGCCAGGATAAGTTAACAAGTGAACACTTAAGGAGAGACCTTTGCTAGCCAATTATCTGGAGGACTGATTTAGCAACTGCTTTTGTAACACTGTTGCCAGAGTGCACTGCTGCTGCAGCTCCACAAGAGGAGTACTGTCCCTCATTGTGCCCCCGACAGACAGACTCCCTATTGATTCCACAGGCTCTTAAATGTGGAAGCTTCCTGACACTCTGCACATTCCAGCATCATGCATCAACTGCTCAGCCCTCATTGATGATGTTTTAACCCTGTTTAAAGTACCCAAGTCTTTACAATCTAACATTCTTTTGATGATGACTCAACATCGATACATTCCCACTAAAAGTTTTGAGTAACAGAATCTCAACTGACTTTGTTATCTGCTGCCTTGTATTAGATTTGTGACCCAACCCGGCTAATAATTTTTTTTTTTTACTCAATCACCGTGCCTCTCTACACAGGGCAAGGACTAGTACTAAGTCATTTTGATAGGTGTACTTTGTCTTCTGAAATAGGCGCTGTCCCTCCTGTGAACAAGTGAAAGGTGTTAGCTCGATGTGTGTCACTGCAATATTATAAGTTAAACACAGGCATTGCATTCGTGCAAAAGATGACGAACCGTCTGTTCGGCTCTCTGCCAGGAAAGGCTGAGACACGAGTGCAGATCTCAAATTGTATCTCAACCCTAAACTTGCTAGCTGTTATTTTTCTCCTCTTGTATTTATTTTATGCTTTTGCTTAAAATTTCTTACACCAGATTAATCATTCCTGCTACTGAAAGAACATTTGTCAGCTTCATAGTCATTAAGGACGTGCGTGATTTGAACAGATGTGCAGAAACCTTTTTTTGTGTGTATTCCAAATTAGACATGCCCTCATTTCATATCAGCGTATGTAGTTCAGTTTTGCTTGCTGCAAAAGGGTTGCTGTTATAAAGTTTGTTTTTTGCTGCTAATGTCTTTTTTTCCCCCTCCTGTGTTCAGAGTTTCCCCGAATGTTCCGAAAGAAGTGAAATTTGACTATAAACAGTATTGCTGAATTAATTATTCAGTGGTATCAAATGATGGTATTGATACAGTGTCATTATACACATATGAACTTTAAATTCCCTCTGAGCAAGAGAGGCTCAGGAACTGTGTCAAAGACGGGTCATTTTAAGGCCGCGTCAAGGTTGCAGAGCAAGTGTACCATTCCGATCAATTTTGGTCTTGAATTGTTCGATTTTTGGTTCAACTCCTGAAATCAGTTCACGTCATACCTCCTGGTATTACTACAAGATCATACTTTAGTCTGTTTAAACCACCTCACATCACATGTACTTAAGCCTACCAAGGCAACCAATATGATGATGTGTGTGTGTGAGTTTTTCCCCTGGAAATGCTATATGCTTGATATGAATGGATTACCTTATTTAAGCTAGCAGTATTCATAGATAGTGGCGACCTGTATGCAGAAAACACAGAGTTACAATTATTTTTTCATCAATTTAAAGCAACAAGTGTAAAAAAAATTTAAAAAAAGTTGTGCATTTCCAAGGAATTACAGTATTTGCCTGACTCTTGAAATACTTTATATTGAAGTTTGAGTGCTGGTGATAACTGCTGTATTGCTTAGAATAGTGATTGGGAAATCAGTTTGCTGTTTTGATGGCACGAGTTCACAAGGTACATCTTTATGGAAGTCCACTCTCTTAATATGTGAGATGTTTGATGTTGAAATCATTTTGCAAATGATCTGTGAATTGCCTTTTTTATTTAAGTGCATTGATTGTATAATATTCAGCCCATATTAATGCAATGTATTGACCATTCCATGACCCGCAGAATAAAACCATGGACTCTTTCACTTGTTTGTTTGGAGGACAAGGCGACACACAGTGGGTGCTTCAGGTAGTTCAGAGCCACGATCCACTTTTTTTTTTTTTTTTTT